CTAATCTTAAATGACTGTTCAGTACAGAAATGAAGCCCAACAATCATCTTTTACAGTCCTGTGGTCTCAGCCTCAGATACTTATCAAATCACACAAAGCTCATGTAGAAACAAATGTACAAAATATGTTCTCCTTCATTTCTGTCAAACAAAGCTGTATGAAACGTTTCCAGCTGTTAGTATCATGGTTGCTAGGCAACCTGGGCAGCGCAACGGAGGCTAGACAGTCCCATTTCACAAGCCTACAAGCCTCGCACTTCCGGCCTCACGCTGCCCTTGGGGACCGTTAAGGCTGCGTACTTTAAGGCTGCAGACCGTGATTTGGGATACAGCCATACATACATGTTTTGGTTCGTGCAACTGGTCCGTCGAGTTATTGTCTCCCCAGAAACATTTCCGTTGTGTTTTGTGTGTTTTTCAGCGTTTTTCTTTTTGCAGGTGTTTTTCTTTTTGCATGTGTTTTTCTTTTTGCAGGTGTTTTTCTTTTTGCATGTGTTTTTCTTTTTGCATGTGTTTTTATTTTTGCAGAGTTTTTCTTTTCGCAGCGTTTTTCTTTGGCAGGTGTTTTTCTTTTTGCAGCATTTTTCTTTTTGCAGCATTTTTCTTTTTGCAAGTGTTTTCTGAAGTTGCAGTCCGTTTGGCCTCTCAGGGCCACCATATCATTCCCCTGCGGTATGACCCAATCTGGGCTGTCAGACAGATGGCCTCACATTTGACTGTAGAATACTTTTGCATACAGTAGAGTTCATGTCTCAATCACTGCAAGTCCCCCAACGACTTCTGGCTGCAAAAGAATTCCAAATCATCATCCCTCCACCGCCGTGCATGACAACTTGTATGAGGTCTTTGCTGATACACTGTGTTTGGTTTTTGTCAAATACGGAGCTGTGGATGGCGAAACATCTTCATTTTGGTCTGGTCTTTCTTAAGGACATTGGTTGAGAAATCTTGTGGTTTGATGAGATGCAAATTTGCAAACCAACGCTGTGCTGCCATGTTTTTGTCAGAGAGGTTTTCTCCTGGCAACACAAACAAACCATACTTGTTCAGTCTTTTTTTAATTGTACTGTCATGAATTTTAACATTTAACATTCTAACTGAGGCTTGTAGAATCTGAAACCTAAGAATCTTAGGTTTTTATTTGCAATTTCATTGCATTTCATTTCAAAATCATGGCTGGTGTCTTTCTGTCTTTGTTAACATATGCCAGAACATCTTCTTTTATAAAGGTGCTCACACTTGCTGATGATCAGTTAATCAAGTGCATTTAGTTAGCAGCACCTGGCAGCTACTTCCCTACTTAATTGCTATGGAAGCAGTAAGGGTACACTTAATTTTAAATATACTGCTTTACATTTTGCAGTCAAGAAAATGTCACAGACCTCTGTTAGAATAAACTAATTATTTATTTTATACAATTATTTATTCTTTATTTTACTGCTATGTATGACTCTAACAGGGCACTTGGTTCACAATAGTTTATATTTCATGTGCCAGATTAGTCGTACAGTCCATAGCCTGATCTATCTGGCATTGAAGGGCATCACATTCTACCACTCAGCTTTAAATATAAATGCTTTAAAACATTGTGTTTTTTTAAAACCTATTGACTTAATGTTGCAAATGCTCATTTCATCGTCCTATGAAAAAACAATTATGCCTGAAAGATTGCGATTATTGATCAAATATGATACTGAGTGAAAGAAAGAAAGATATATGGACAATCTCTCTAGGGGTAAGTAAATGTGACAGAAATGGTCAATTTCTTTTTAATGCTTAAGAGTTACATAACTTGCAGCTTCAAATATTCCACCAAATTCTTACATGGAGTCCACAAATGATGATCAAATGATGATGTATTTTTGCTCATTTATGCTGCCCAACAGAAGGGACATAAGGACAGAAGTAGAAACCTTAGATTAATGCAAAACAAAGAAAAGCTTCTGTATTTAAAATTGCACTGCCATATCAGCTAATGGAAGTCAGGAAGTCATCTCAAACTCTGAGCAGGTTAACATAAACATTAGGGATTTCCTGGAAACATTATCCTGTGCCATGTACAAGTACAGCTGCACCTGTTGCAGTCCAGCCAACATCAGCTTGTCATCTATGAAGGTCTGTGTCTTTTTTCATAGATAGTTGATATTCAGGTTTAATAGTAAAATGTTACTCAAAAAAGTCAGCAGATAAGCCTTTTACACAGCTAAAGAAGCCAAACAGGTTCAGTGCTTCCAGGTTTAGAAAAGCAGGCAGATATTTTAGATGCTACATGTGAGGTGCTGTACCCTGACAATACTGATCCACCCATCTCATCAAATAAAATTCTGTTTTCACCCCATGATTTTGTTGTTGTTGTTTAAGGCCATGTTTTGTTAACTTGTATAGCTAGTAGCTGGTATTACCAGGTAAAACAGTTGTTTCTTTTGCCAGAATCTTTACTCTTGTAGTTCACCAATTGATACCAACTTTGATCATGTGCTTTCTTACAGTGACACTACTGGATTTACAGCCCAGAGTAGGCGCAGAGTAATATGCAGTCTCCTGCAAGGCCAGGTTTTTTCCTAGCACCTGAGAAATGACTTTGCATAGTGCATTTGCATGCCAGGGATAACAGCGACTCAGCCATTATGACCAATAGGACTCCTCTCACGTCAGCCTTGCTCCAAACACTCTGTCCACCAGCTGTAATACATTTGCATTTAGTTGACATACTTTTAATTTATACTTTCTATAGGCGTGACAACGTTAAAAACTGGATGAGGCAAACTTACAACAACCAGTTGGACACTTTATTTTTTCTTTCTGACCAGAACAATAAGCAAACTGTCAGACAACAGGCATAGTAGAAATTAAACTCTTTTCTTTGTCTATTGTTGTAATCTGCACTGCAGCACTTGTGTGAAGCTGTGGTCTTTTTAAATGTGCTATAGAAATAAATTTTGATTGATTGATTGGTTGATTGGTTGATTGATTGAATTAAACAGGCTGATTAAGTTGATTGGTCTTGTCACAGAGTGGTGACCACATCCCGTCCTATGTCAGCTGGGAATGACTGAAAATGAAGGCATTTGTTTTTATACAAGGGAAAATATATAAATATGTATATATTTAGTCATTACACAAGCTCAGTAATAAACATGGTAGCCAAGATGGCACTAAATATCGGTGAGAGTTTAATGTCTCATATGCTGAGCTGCTCTAACAGGACACTCAGCCAGCCCAGAACTGCAAAGGAAAAGGATTTACTCTGTCTTGTGCTGCAGGTCCTGCTCTCACCCAAAAGTTGGGTGAATAATTTAGGAATGTTTGTTTATAGAAATGAGAGGGCTTAACTTAAGTAAGTGGAAAAGTTCAAGTCCACCGTGGAAGATATTCATCTGTTTACATATCTCCCACAATGGGACCTGACATGTTTTCATTGGAGCAAGGTCTGGCAACCGGAAACGGGTCCTGAGCCAAATTTCCATGAGTCTAAGAGCTCTCCTCCCTGAAAGTTAAGCAAAGCCGAGGTAAAACAGAGAGAGAGCTGGAACCCGTTGGAACAGTTAAATTACAGTTTAAATTATTTAATCTTGTGTTTAAAAAGGTAGTTTTACTGTATGTTTTTGGACACATGCAAAAAAGTGAGACTGGGCAGTTACAGACTCATAGAGCTACCATGGCGCTCTAAATCTCTGCAGTTTTATAAGGCTGCTATAAACTGAATACTGAATACAAAACAAACACACTTTCCCAGTAGTGACATCATAAGCACTGATTTTACACCTGGGATTGATGAGAAATAGTATGGTTGTAATCTGAGAGGCAGCAACTTCATTACCCTCATAGAGGATCTGGAGGACTCCTGCAAAGGCACAGCTACCTTTGCAGACTGACAGGATGCCAAGGATGTTAACTCAAATGAGTTAACATCCTTGGCAATAAATCAACTTCTGCACTAAATCTGTTATAAACTTTATGTAACCTGCAATCCTCTATTAAACCTTTGCTGACCTTAGTTTACTTTGGAATGAGTTATGCCCAACACTCAATGCAACTTGATGTTTTGTTCTGTGAATTGTGCACTGCATTGTGTAGGCATCTGTGTGTATGG